TGTCATACAAACATTTTGAGAGACAGTTGGAGAAAAAATAGACAGTCGCCACGTGGCTGACAATAAACTGCACAGCAGGGACTACATCTGTGTCTTAGTGCAATTTTAGGAGTGATCAATGAATAAAAGTGAAAAGAGCAGCTCGCAATTTATTCTTTTGGGCACAATAGGGTAACTTCTATTGAAAACTCAAATTTTGACTTTATTCCCTCTTGAAGTGAATCATTCTGTTTAAAAATTTGCCACCATGCATGAATTAAGGAGTTGTTTCCGAAAGACTGTCTTACATGAGTAATATCACCTTTCTCTTCTTTATTTTAGCGGAGGATGGACCTCATGGTCACCCCAATGGTTGAATGGTCAAGGACTGCATGGCTCTATTGTTGGTATTGTCGGTTATGGTAGAATTGGGCATTCAATCGCAGTTAAATTAAAAGGATTTTCACCCAAGCAGATCCTGTACACAAGTCGGAAAGAAAAACCAGAGGGTAGGCTTTAAAATTTAGCACTATTATTAAATTGATAAAAAAAAAAAAGAGTCAAGATCCCAATCAGCTTCATCCTTGTATTATTATCCCACTCAACTTTTCTAACGGAATGACCTCGGTCTATCGACCTTGGGGAGGACTACATTTGTTTCTCATATGTTTATCCAAGCAGCCAAAAACTCCCCTAATTTTTGAAGACTTCTTTTTAAGCAACTTGCTTCTTCGATGCTGTAAATTTTGAAATTAAAAGTTGATAAGAAAGGTGACCTATAAAACAATATTACCGGACAATTCATTGAAATGGTCAACTGGGCCTCTCAGCAGATCTTATAAATATCCTGTGACAGATTCTAAATTTGGCATTTTTAAAAATCTAGAATTTTTTCCAGTTCACTAGTTCGTCTTATGTATTAACATTGTTTTAATGTGTGTCCTCTTTTTTTTTTTTAATAATCTACAGGAACTGAAATTGGCGCTACCCTTACAGATCTTGATACATTGCTTAAGAGGAGTGACTTCGTCATTGTCAGCATTGCATTGACTCCTGAAACAAAGGGAATTATTAGTCGCAGTAAAATTGCCCTCATGAAGGAAAATGCAATCTTTGTCAACAGTGGTAGAGGAGGTTAGCAGACTTTGTATTCATCCGTGTATAGCTTTCACTTTTTTCCACATTTTAAGATTTATAAAATCTTAGCTTGAACGCAGAAAGTTTCCCACTTTTTTGGGTTTTTTCTTGTTTTAATTCAGTCCACTTCTTAGGAAACCATGTTTTTCTTTGGGGGGGGGGGGGAGATAGGAACTTTAATAAACATTTATTTTTAAAGTAACCTTTGATTTTTTCAATTGGCCGAGAAGCATCTCAGTTTTGGACTAATTAGGAGCTAAACTTCTATCAGACTAAAAATGTTTTTGCTCAAGGTGTAGATATTGCCCTCTGAAAAACACAAGCTGCGAAAATCTTTCACTTGCAGCAATTCACATAGATGGCCACAGTGTGAAACCACGTATCTCCAATTGCAGCGTTGAAGACTTCCTGTCATACTTCATTCTTTCCTTGGAAAAACAGTCGCTGTAATTTATTGAAAACTTCCTTGATTCTTCCTCTCTGATAACAGAATATTTTGTGTTTTCAAGCGTTGGAGTTGACTTGTTTTTCTTTGAAAAATCCAATCGGAGCAGAGATATTGAGATGCTGCAATGAAAATACATATGTGGAGCACTTTAGTCACCAATATCTTTCACCTTGCTTTTATCAGCAATGGAATTAAAGTAACCAATTCAAATGTGTGCATCACTGATTGATGGATTAAAGGAGGCAAAAACTGTGAAAACATTATTTTTTCAAGGGTTTAAGTTGGGTTTTCATCCCTTTGGTTAGTATTAACCATAAAACTTAGTAATTGGATTAATTCTACTAAAATTTTGATAATCTACAAAATTTAACATCAGAAATCATTTTTTATCCTCGTAAAACTTTTCAGAAGCGCCAAACAGTGAAATTGTCAATTAACAACACGTCTTGGCACTGTGGCCATCATCAGATTCGGTCTGTGCCTGCTTTGTATTCATTTTGAAGCAAAGGAGCAGAATACAAGGCAGTCGAGGTATGTATCTGATGATGACAAGAGGGCTGTTAGGGTACGGGCAGGACGTGTTGTTAAACAAAATTTCTTCTCATGTGAGTAAAAAAGAATACTTCACATCGTTTTTATGACAGTTCAACAGATTGCTCCCATGTAGCATAAGTGATTTTTCATGTAATCATGTGGTTAATCTCATTTTCTTTGTTTCTTAGGACTGGTTGACCAGGATGCATTGGTTGAAGCTCTTCAGCAGAAAAGAATTCTTGCAGCAGGTTTAGATGTCATGACACCTGAGCCCTTACCACTTGATCATCCCTTGATGAAACTTGATAATGTTGGTATGTATTTCTTTTCACTATGTATCAAAAACACTTTTTTTCGGTCCAGGGTCCCTAAATGAAGCCCTTTATGTTGTCATTCTCAGGAAGAACATCGTATGAACAATTCGATGTTGGCAAATATCTGCTCAGGAAAAGTTCATTTTTGAGGATAGTCATTATTAGTTTCCTTGAACTTTTCAAACACTTAAAATAAAATTATAAACAAAATTCTTTGAAAAATTGGGAGAAAATCTACTTCAGTTTTCCGGAAAATTTGTGATTTATCTAAGAACTTTGGCAACGTTCAAAGGCTCATCGGCATTTTTTCTTAGCAAGGCAAGAACAGTGAATTTTACGAATTTTGAGAAAAAAATTTTCCTCAAGATTTAGCACCGCAAAACCAGGTTTTTGTGGTAAGATGTGCTATTCACAGTCATTGAACTAGAATCAAAATGCAATTAATTTTCAACCTCTAAATAATTTTAGACGATGAATAGAAGTTTTAGTAACTTCTGGAAGATATGGGAACGAATAATAAGTGCTTTAAACATTTCTTAGGGAAGATCCAAATTGGTCACTTGGTAGAATCCTATTTACAGGGAAAACGTCATAAGAAAAAGAAAAAAAGGAAAGGAAAATGAACATTTTTAACATTATTTTAATTCTATAAAAACTAAAATTCCTTTGTCAGGCTATCCAAATTTTCAGAGCTTTTTCTATGCTGTGTTTGTTAATGAAGGGTCTCCAACATTTTTAAGCCTCATTGCTCCCTACAGATTCGTCTCCCTGAAAAATTATAATTTTGACAATATATATGTTTTTTCTTTCTCTAATATCTTTACAGAGGTAATGGGTCGATTTTTTTAGAGTGTGTAATGTGTGCCAACGTTCCCTCATGAAAGAATAGGATTTAAGTAACTAAAGCTTTGATAAATGTACCTTACTTCCTGATCATGAAAGCATTCCATTTTGAATGCTCATGTTCAGGGAAAAACAACTTGACTTCAATGTCTGGCCCGCAACCCTGTTCTAAATATGTTTTCCTTCAATTTTTTTTGTTAGTTCTGCTACCTCATATTGGAAGTGCTTCTATCAAAGCTAGAGGAGACATGGCTCAGCTCGCAGCAGAAAACATCATTGCTGTCTTCAAAGGAACATCCATGCCCGCTGAATATTTGTGATGAGAAATCAAGTTTCGAATAATCTCCATAAAAAACTTACTTTAACGGATTCAAATTTATTCGATTCCTTTACAAAAACAGTCTTTTTGAAAAGTGATGTGAAAATTTTTGGATCTCATATCAAGTAAAAAAATAAGTGTGTATGATATTTATTTTTTATTTTTTTATCAATGTGCATTTAAAATTATACATTTTTCTACAAAATGTGAATGTTGAAGAGGGAATGTTAACAATGGAACAAGGTAGTGTTGAAAGGATGAGAGCTAAAATCAGTCAGTTTATAAATTAAAAACTTATTATGAGTCACTAAACCATGAACAATTCTTGACTTGCAAATATATTTTTCCGAAGGTAAATGAAGCGCAGAATACAATGCGCACATTCAAAACGCAAAAAAATTATTCCGAAATGGAGAAATATGTTGTTCAAAAAACGCAACTTATTCGTAAATTTAAAACGCCCCAGTTTTGCGCGAAACCTAATGATGTTATCCAACACCAATCAGAAGCAAGCGCGGGTTTCTGCGTCTCCCCTCAAATGTCATTCTACTCCTCATTCATGAAAACAATAGAAAATTCGAAACTAAATCTTCAGAATCAAAGAATCAAATTTCATTCACGCTATCTGTTGTAAACAAGCAAAAGTTCAACATTGAAATACGATTTATTTCAACAAGCATGAGTGGAAAAATAAAGGAGATGGCGATTTGATCGCCACAGTACATCACTTCCATCATTTCCTGCCATTCAGGCGTGTTTTAAATTCCTTCAAGTCTTTGGACTTCTTAAAAGCGGCTTTTCTGGGATTTTGGCCCCAAAAATCAGTATAAATCACGACGTAATCTACTCACAAGATACTTCCAGAATATTAAATGGATGTATTTCTGCCAAACAGAACTATGTGCATTATCATGGCGTGAGCCCTGTTATGCATATATTCTTATGGGTCTCAGGGCTCATGTCTTAATGGATATAGTTCCGTTTGGCAGAAATACGTCCAAATAAAATACACAAGGTTTAGTGACCCACCAATTCTAAATTTTCTTAAGTTTTTTAAATTTCAGTTGATAAGTACCGAGTGTTTCAAATTTTATTGGGAAAAGTGTAAAAACGGTCCGCATAACCTGTGATATTAACATGCATGTCCGTTTGCAGCCTTATGTTTTAGTTGATGCCAAATAAATTTTTGTTTTAAAAAAAATAAGGTCTTATTAATTACTTGTGGTTTAAATAAATGTCAATGGTCCATCCAACTATCATAACTTTACCTTAGACCGATGAACATATGAAAATTAAAAAACATTCTGAATTACTAATGAAGGTCATGGACTGATAATTTTTTTAGCTTTTAAGCGAGATTGTGTCCTAGAAATGTGAAGCAACTTATAATTTGGAACGACACAACGTAAAATTTGTTGCCATACTGTCCAAAAGTTAAAAGTAAAAGAACTATGAAATTTAAGACTGGATCTGACAATTATTTGTCCTAGTCATCAGCTTTACTGGACATTGACTGTTGGTGAGAGTCATTTTTACTTGAAAATACTGCAAGCCCAAGTTTGCTGATTTGCAAACTCTTGAATAGGACTCTTTAATTTTTTTAAAATAGGTTTATTTCAAGCTCTGGCTGTGAATATCCTGGGAACAATAAGTTCTCACATGGAAGCTCTCCATTCTGCGACATAAATAATATATTTGTATTCCTTCTCTAATTTAGTTCACAATAATGTAGAGAGGGTATTATTGATTATTTTAAACCAGAGAATAAGACTGTACCTTGATTTTGGGTTGTAGGAGGGGGAAGTCCCACCCGAAAGCAAACTCTCATGCATGAAGAAGCAACCCTAATAATTTTCAAATTTCTCATAAAGATAATCAAAATTCTGAGCCATGCTTAAGATACTGGGAAGAAATGAGAGTAGTGGTTTCCAACCTTTTTTGTCCGCGGACCACTTTTTCTGTTCCCGAGAGAGAAGGCCGCGAACCAACAACAAAATTGAACAACCTTTGTTTCGGTATCATGCTTTTTGAAAACATTTTCGCCGAGCCCTCGCAGACCACCGATCGGAAAACGTTGGATTACAGCCTCAGAAAGGTGAACGAACTGGACAACAAAGTTTAAAATCAATGGGAAAAGACAGGCCTGCCACATCCCATCTCGGGCCCTGGTACCAGTTTTAAGGTCCGTGCCCCAAGCACGTAGGGGGGGGGGGGGGGGGTCCGAGGGGCATCCCCCGAGAAATTTTAGAATTTATACGACTAAT